GCTCTCTCTAAGGAGTTAATTATCTTCTCAGAGGAAAGGATTTATCCATAGAAACACCTTAGTGATCCCATTGAATGGGAATTCCATTGAATGGGAATTCCATTTCCAGAACTCAAAACACACACACGTGAGGGGCCCCTTCCTATACACTAAATTGTGGTGTTAAGACAAGCTAAGTGTCATGCGAATAGCATGGTGGTGTCCTTCTTTCCTCTTGTTAATAATAAAGACTTCGGAAATTCCACTATTAGTTGCTTGCAGAGTTGAACCTGTTTAGGCTTTAAATTAATGGCAGCCATTTAAACATAGGAAGCTTTGAATGTGCTTGTCTTATCTCTGAATGTCATAGAAGTAGCCAGAAACCACTTAAGGCTCCACATTACAGCTGCTCTTGGGATCCTGTGGTCAGGTCAGCAGAGAGCACTGTTGGAGAGCTACTTTGACACAAAAAGAGAGTTCTTGTCATTGCAACACAGGTTGCTTGTTCTTGTCTCTTTCTGATAAAATATTGTGATTTTGATTTGAATATTCTTGATGACTGACAAAGTTGTGTACATGTCCATGTATTATTGGTCTTTAGTAGATCATCTTCTGTGAGGTCTCTATGTATGTTTTTGATTAAAAATAATGAGTCAGTCCTGCTGCCACTGCTGCGTCAAAATCTGCAGGGCAGGGAAAGAGATGCATGAAAGCTCTGAGAGCGGAAATCTGCAAATGGAGTTGAGAGCAGGACAAGCAGGGAGCCCTACATTGACTTGCAGTGAGTGAGCGGAACAGGGAAACTTTCATAGAGTAGGAGGCTCCAACAAAGGACATACTGGGATGGGGCAGACTTGCCAGAACAGGATGCTGCAGTGACATTAGCCGCATATTCCCCTCTCAAGCGGGATTGGTAGGGAGTACCTGGCTTGTGTGACACCACTGACTAAGACCCAGTAGGCTAGCCCAAACCAGGTCCCAGCACCTGGAGGTGCACCCTAGTGGTGAAACCTTGGATAGGTTGACCTGGAGAAGTGGGCCTAGCAGAGGCTGCCCAGGACTGTGTCTCCCTAGTACACTGCAGTAGGCGGGAACACCTAGCTGGCACAATTCAAACAAACTGTAACTGACAAAGAGAAAAAAATTGGGCCTCCTACATTTGCTTGTAGGGAAGGAACAAAAAGTATGGGAAGAGGAAGCAGCAAGAAAGGGTCCTCAGTCCCCAATCCTGAGAACACTGATCCAGGAAAGGGAAATGCAAAGGAAGACAGAAAACATACAATATCAGACACAGCACCAATAGACATAAAGCAATATCTCCAGAGTCACATAGATGAGTTTAAAAATGAAGTATTTAATGAAATAAAGCAAGATATAAGTAGAGAAATGCTAAGCACCACCCGAGAAAAAACAGATGGTGGAATGGAAGAACAGAAAAAAAGGGGAGAATTGTTTGATGGAGAAAATAGAGAAAACATAGAATACGTGAAGCAAGTTCAAAGAGATTACCAGGAAACTAAAAATTCTATCAAAAGCTGGCATAATAGCTTGAAAGAAACTAAGGGTAGATAATCTGAACTGGAGAGCAGATTTGTAATATGGGAACATGAAATGAAAAACTTCTTTAAAATAACAAAAAAAAAACCAAATAGCAATAATACAAAGGCTAGAAGATGATAAGAGGATCTATAACTTAAGAATTAAGAACATAAAAGAAGAAGTAAGGACACAAACAACTGGACTACAAAAGCTATTCACAGAAATAATCCAAGTGAATTTCCCTAATTTAGCAAAAGGTAAAGATACTCAGATGTATGAGGCATACAGGACCCCAGCCTATTTTCATTATCATAGTTATTATTTTTGTCATTATATTAAGAACACCTAACACAAGATTTTTGCTCTCAACAAAATTTTATGTATGCACTATAGTACAGAAAATGGCTTGTTGTGGTGGTATATAGATCTCCACAGCTTACTTACCTTGTGTACCCAAATTTTCTGCTTTCTGATTCACATCTCAGCATCTCTCCCTGCAGGTCAAGAGTATCACTATTCCATTCTCTGACTCTATACGTTAATCTGAATTGGGTTTCTATACAAGGGGCACCATTCTCACTTTGTCCTCCTATGTCTGATGTATTTTTCTTAGCACAGAGTTCTCTGAGGTTATTCTGTGTTGCTCATAAACAGATTTTCTTTAATTTTCAGGACTCAGTAGTGTTCCACTTACATGTTTCTATAGCGTATTTTTATCCATCATCTTTTACTCTACATTTGAATTTCTTCCACATGTTGGCTACTACGAAAAATGTATAACAGATTAAAAATCTTTGTTTCTTTGCTAAAGGACACAGGACATTTAACACCAAAGGAACAAGTAAATGCTCCATAAATTGGTAAGTGATTGGACAGATCTTTCTTAAAAGAAGTTCAGACGACCAATCTGTGTATTTAGCCATTGGGAAACTGCAAATCAAAACTACTGTGAAGTACTATTTTTTGTTGTTTCAGAGAAGAAATAAAATAAAACAACTTCAAAACAAGATTTAAGGGGCCTAACAATAATTAACATATTACATATTGCAATCTTTACAGAAGTTCCCATCTTAGTCAAATGGCTTCATCAAGAATGCAAAGAAATAATAGGAGGAGGATTCATGGGATAAACATCCATTTCACACTGTTGGTGAAAGGTAAGTTATTACAGTCAGTGTGTAAAATGGTATAGATCAGTTGTGGCAGTCCTGCAGCCTAGTGTCACAGAAGGTGGTTTATCATCATTGAAAGCTCTAAAAGGTTCACCACCCCTGGTACAGATGTTTCCTAAAAAACTAAAGAGACAGCTACTATTCCATCCAGCCACATTTCTCACTGTATGCCCAAGTGAATTAAATTGTAGAAACAGAGTGTTGCCTCAGTTCACCAACTGAACTTGCTTGGTCATTTTGATGAAGGTGACTCTGTGTGAGAGGGGAGGATAGCCATCATCATCTTTATCATACAGTACAGATTTTGTGAATAGTACCAACTTTTGTTGAACACTTTGTGAACTTAATTGTTTGGAAAAAGAACTGTGTGTGGTAATAGATATCAGTGCTAGGTACCCACTTTGATTACAGCCTAATTCACATTAGCCAAGTTAGGGAATCAGGCTAATCATCAGTCCCCAGATAACTGCACTAAGGAAAAGTGGTACATACAAAAGAACTGGAATGCTATTTAGTCATGAAGAAGCATAGGATCATTTCATTTGGAGGACAATAGACTGAACTAGAGAGGTCATGTTAGTGAAAGTAAGCCAGATTCATAAAATGTTGAATGTTTCTTTTATATGTTGAATCTAGAAAGTAGGGATGGCATGAAGAGAGAAGGAAAACTTTTTTTTATTTAAAGAGAAACAAAACAGTTAAAGGGTACAAGTAACACAGAACTACAATAAAAAACAGTAAGAAATCACTAGTTAATAGATTACATATTGTCATCTTAGAAATAGCTGATCAAGTTACAAAATAAGCATACAAAGTGGACAATCAAACAGTGAAACTGCAAACAGTTGTGTTCAATGATCCAGCAAAAACAGTAATATGGTCATCTATCTTACACACCTAAACACACTTGCAGTTGTATCCTTTAGAGCACTTTCTTTTCCTCTTTTTTACAACTACATTTACACATTTTGGGTTTTATTACTCACACAGTTCTTATTACTTTTTTTTTTGAAGAGAATAAAACCAAATGTGACAAAACAACGCAGAGTCGGTCAAAACAAAGGATGGACACAGTACATGATATAAAAACAGAATACAAGGTAATCAACAGTGGTTACCATAATGCGCTTGCTATCTTAAAAAGAATTGCCTCTATCATCCGGTATAATAAAATTGAACAAAACCAATAAAACCAAAACATTGGAGACATCACTGAACTTCAAAAGAAGATAATGGTCAAACCAGAATGGACATCATAGTGAATCTTACTGTCTTCAAAGTAGTTGCTTATGCCCTCAAAATTGATAATATCAAACAGAACAGAATAGAGTAAAATCAGTCAAAACAAGATGGTGAGAGCAACACGAGGCTTCAAATCGAGTTAATAGGAAATCAAAAAGTTACTCTAATATATCCTGCTAATATAAAAAATTTCCCTTGATAAAAAAATAACAATAATAAAATAAAAAAATTTTTAAAAGGGGGGAGATTGAGATAAAAGAGGACACAACAACATAACAATACAAGTCAGAACAGAACAATTTAAGCAACAAAGTGTTTCACCACAAGATAACCCAACTTAATACTAGTTACCATAGTGCCTTTTTCCTTGAAATATTTGAGTATAACTTCGTATACTATAGCATCAAACATATAAGACAGTGTGAAACCATTCAAGAGGATGAAACTATTACAGGGTATTTAGAACCAGCTAACAGAAAATGAACAATGATTTCTATGTTATCTAAGAAGGAAAACTCTTAAGGACAAGATGGGGATGCAATGGGATGAAGAGGATGAAGGAAAGCTGATAGTGTACATGGGCAAAGTATGGTGTGTGCCTCGATGAAAACACCACAGTGAAGCCCATCATTTTGTATAATTAATATGTGCTTATTAAAAATTAAAAGCCTGACACTCATGTAGAGTTGGTTCTTTGTTTTCAAATGTTATCATAAAGAAATATAACAGAATTTCTTCAAAAGTGACTAACTGCTGAATATTATTTAAAAATTCCTAGAAGTGCAGATTTTTTTCAGTGCACTGACTTCACTTCTCTTGCTATACACCCTGGAGGGAACTCACTGCATTGCATGGTAGTTCCATATTTAATATTTAAGAACATCATACTGTTTTCCTAGCAGGTGTAACAATTCACATCCCTGCCAATGTGGTCTTACTGCTGCCTCTGATCCACATTGTCGCCATCACTTGTCACAATTAACATTTTTCATGGTTGTCATTCTTGGTGAGGCCAGGTAATGTTTCATTAAGTTTTGATTTTTACTGTAATAATCATTCATGATTTACATTTTCTTGGGGTGAATCACTGCTCAGTCCTGGAGTCTCCAGGCCACAGATGACCTCTATGGATCTTTTATCTCTGACCCCACAGATGGCCATTATACCCTCCTGCTTTGGACCCATTAAAGCTCTTTACATGTTTGTGAATAATCCTGCATGTATTTTCTCTTGATTTTATTTCCCCAGAGGACACTCATTCATACAGGTTTTAGGTATCTGGCACCTGGTTACCATCTGCAGTGGTTTCTCCTCCAGATGTTGTAAGTAAGCTGAAAGTCCATGTTGAGAACTCATTAAAGTAATAGGCACATAAATTAGTTTGACTATATTAATTCACCACTTGTAAAGTGCAAGGAATTTATTTTTTTAGTTTTATTTAAAAGGAAAAAGAGGAAAAAACAAAACAAAGCAAAACAGTGTAAGAGTACAAGTAATACAGAAATAAAATAAAAAACAGTAAGAAATCACCAGTCAATAGATTACACATTATCATCTTAGAGACAGTTGCTCAAGTCACAGGTTCAAAGCATACAAAGTGGACATTCAAACAGTGAGACCGCAAACAGTTGTGTTCAATGATCCAACCAAAAACATTAATATGGTCATCTATCTTAACACGCCTAAACACACTAGCAGTTGTATCCTTAGAGCACTTTCTTTTCCACAACAAAATTTACACATTTTGGGGTTTATTACTCCCACAGTTCTTATTACCCTTCTTTTTGGAAGAGAATAAAACCAAATATGACAAAACAAAGCTGTCAATCAAAACCAAGGATAACATAGCACATGATGCAAAAACAGAGTACAAGGTTATCAACAATGGTTACCATAATGCTGCCTGCTTCCTTAAAAAGAATTGCCCATATCATTAGGTATTATAAAGTTAAACAACACAGTACAGAACAAGACCAATAAAACCGAAACATTGTAAACATTACGGGACTTCAAAAGAAGATAATAGTCAAACCAGAATGGGCATCATAGCGAATCTTATTGCTTTCAAAGTAGTTGCCCATACCCTCGAACTTGATAGTATCAAACAGAACAGAACAGATTCTAATCAGTCAAAACAAGATAGTGAGAGCAACACAGGATTTCAAATCAAGTTAATAGGAAATAAAAAAGTTACTATAATATATCCTGCTAACTTTTTTTTATTTTTCCCCTTAATTAAAAAATAATAAAAAACTAACTAAATAATTTTTTATGAATAAGGGAGAGATTGAGATAAAAGAGGACCTAACAACATAACAATTCAGGTCAATTTCAGCAACCTAGTGCTTCACCACCAAATAACCCAACTTTTTTTTTTCTTTTTTTCTTTTTATTTTAAAGGGGGTAAAGTTAAACACAACAAACAGAACAAAATAGGACATAAGGAAGTAATGTAAGACATATAAATTTCAAAGTTAGCTGACCTGAGATCTTCACTGTTTATCATATTAACTCTTGTTTTCTTCCAAATAGTTGTCCAAGTCTTCACAGACAGAGAATTCATACAAAACACCATAGTATAAAACTGATCCGAACAGAATGAGGAAGGCGTTTTAGGTCTTCAAGACCAGACAATAAGAAAGTTAGTAATGGCTGCTGTAGAGTCTCTTGCTCTCTTTAATATAGCTGTCCATACTTTCATGTATATTGAAGTTCTTTTTTTTTCTTTTTTAAATTTTATTTAAGGAGAAAAAGAAAAAAAAGCAGAAAAAGGGTACAAGTTATACAGAATTTCAGAAAAAAAATAAACAGTAGGAAATCACTAGTTAATGGATTACATATTGTCATCTTAGAAATATTTGTTCAAGTTACAAAATTAAAGCTTATATAGTGGACATTCAAACAGTGAGACCAAACAGTTCTGTTAATGATCCAACAAAACTCAGTAATATCATTGTCTATCTTATACATTTAAATATACATGCAGTTATATTGTTTAGAGCACTTTCTTTTCCTCTCTTTTGTACAATGACTATTACACATTTTGGGTTTTATTGCTCCCACAGTTCTTATTACTTTTTTTGGAAGAGAGTAAAACCAAATGTGACATAACAGAACAGAGTCAGTCAAATCAAAAGGGTGGACATAATAGATAATGTAAAAACATAATACAAGGTGATCAACAATGGTTACCATAATGCCTCCTGCTATCTCTAATAGAATTGCCTATCTCATCAGTTATAATAAAATTGAACAAAACAGTAAAGAACAAAACCAACAACACCAAAACATTGGAGACATTATAGGTCTTCAAAAGTAGGTAATAGTCAACCAGAATGGGGGTCATAATGAATCCCACAATCTTCACAGCTGTTGCCTATACTTTTGAACCTGGTACTATCAAGCAAACAGAATAGAGGAACATCAGTCAAAACAAGATGGTGAGAGCAATACAGGGCTTCAAATCAAGTTAATAATAAATCAAAGTGGGTTATTATAATATATCTTGCTATTTTTTAATTTATTTTCCCTTAATTAAAAGGATAGAAATAAGAAGTAAATAATAAAATGGAGATTGAGATAAAAGAGGGCATAACAACAAAACAGCACAGAAAAAAACATAACCATTTAAGCAAAATAGTGTTTTACCACAAGATAATCCCGACATAAACGTAGTTACCATATTGTCTCTTTCCTTGAAATCTTTGAGTATAACTTCATATACTGTAGCATCAAATATATCAAAACAATGTAAAACCATTCAAGAGAATGACAGTATTACAGGGTATTTAGAATCAACTAACAGAAAATGAACAATGGTTTCTGTATAATCTCCTTGTCTATAAAAGTTTTTGTTTATACTATCACATATAATAAAATCCAATAAGATACAACATGCTAAGACCAACGGAGACAGAAGAGCAAAAGCTTGATGAGACTTCAAAACAAGATGATACTAAATCAGCATTACCTATTATGACGTCGTTTTCTCCAAAATAGCCGTTCCTATCATCCAGTCTTCTCTGCCTCATTTCTGTTGAGCTCTTTTTCTGTCATTAGTTGTCAGTTTGTCTTCTTCATTTTGTTTTCTGCTCCATTCATTGTGGCCTCTCTGCCACTATTTCTGGATTCTTTGTATTTTTCTTTTTTAGAATATCCTTCAGTATTCTCTGTAGAGTTGAATTGGTGGTTGCATATTCCCCTAGTTCCTCTTTATCCTGGAAGTACCTTGTTTTTCCATCGAATTCCAGGGATAGTTGTGCAGGATATATCAATCTTGGCTGGAGGTTATTATCTTTCAAAGCTTGAATTATTTCCCCCCATGCTCTTCGTGATTTGATGGTTTGTGCCGAGAAGTCTGCTGTAATTCTGATGGGTGTTCCCTTGTAAGTGATCTGTTTCTTGTCTCTGACGGCTTTTAATATTCTGTTCTTATATTGGATTTCTGGTATTTTGATTATTATATGTATGGGTGTAGCTCTGTTTGGGTTATTCTCCTGGATTATTTCTGCAAGTAGCTTTTGTAGTTCATTTGTTTGTGTTCCTACTTCTTCTTTTATGTTCTTAATTCTTAAGTTATAGATCCTCTTATCATCTTCTAGTCTTTGTATTATTGCTGTTTGTTTCTTTGTTATTTTTAAGAAGTTTTTCATTTCACGCTCCCATATTACAAATCTGGCCTCCAGTTCAGATAATCTATCCTTAGTTTCTTTCAAACTGTTATGCCAGTTTTCGATAGAGTTTTTAGTTTCCTGGTAATCTCTTTGAACCTGCTTCATGTATTCTATGCTTTCTCTATTTTCTCCATCAAAAAATTCTCCCCTCTTTTACTGTTCTTCCATTCCACCATCTGTTTTTTCTTGGGTGGTGCTTAGCTTTTCTCTAACTATTCTGCTTATTTCTAGCTTCAGGTCATTAATAACTTCATTCCTGAACTCGTCTATGAGGCTCTGGAGATAGCGCTTTATGTCTACTGGTGCGGTGGCCGCTATTGCCTGTTTCTCAGGATTGGGGGCTGAGGGGCCTTTCTTGTTGCTCTCTCTTCCCATATTCTTTGTTCCTTATATATGCAAGTGTATATAGGAGGCCCAGCTTCCTTCCCTGTTGGCCACAGTCTGATTGAATTGCGCTGGCTAGGTGTTCCCGCCCACCACAGCACATCAGGGAGTTACGGACCGGGCAGCCTATGCGGTGCCCACCCCTCCAGGTCACCTTCAGGTGCTGGGACCTGGGCTGTGCTAGCCTACTGGGTCTCAGCCAGCAGCATCATGTAGGCTAGGCACTGCTCACCAATCCTGCTTGAGAGGGGGATACGTGACTGAAGTCACTACAGTGCCCTGTTCCGGCAAGTCTGCCTGGTCCCAGAATGTCCTCTGTTGGAGCCTCCTAAATCGTGGAAGAGTCCCAGTTTCTCGCACTCACCGCAGGTCGATGCACAGCTCTCTGCCCGTCCTGCTCTCAACTCTGTTCACCAATTCCTGTTCTCAGAGCTTTTGCATGTCTTTCTCCCTGAGGAGCCAATTCAGACACAGCCGCGGCAGTAGGAAACCCAAATCGCGGTTTCCAATGGTGCCGGCTCCAGCTTCCACGCTGAGGCTTTACCTGTTCCTGTTATAGCACCAGCATTGCATTCCCAGTTGGTTTCTCTCAGCCCCATTCATTCTTGGGTCAGCAGGTCATATCTCCTCTCTTGCTTAGGATTCTTCACTCTGCACCATTCCTGGATTCTAAGCTGGGTCTTTCAGAGAGCCTCCGTAGCTGCTGCTATCTGTCCACCATGTTCTCCCAGAAGTCCGATCCAAATAACCCAACTTAATAGTAGTTACCCTAGTATCTTTTCCTTCAAATATTTGAATATAACTTCATATACTATAGCATCAAACATATCAAGACAGTGTAAAACAATTCAAGTGGATGAAAGTATTGTAAGGTAATTAGAATCAGCTAACAGAAAATGAACAATAGATTCTATATTATCTCTTTGCCTATAACAATTTTTGTTTATACTATCACATATAATAAAATCCAGCAAAGTACTACATGATAAAACCAATGGAGACAGAGAGCCATAATTTGGTGGGGCTTCAAAACAAGATGATACTAAAGCACTTGCTACTATGATGTCTTGTTTTCTTCAAAATAGCTGTTCATTTCACCACAGA